CTCTTGATGAGCGGGCTGTGCTTGCTCAGCTCGCGCGGTGGCACGAAGCCCGGCTTGGAGCGCTCTGCGGAGCTGTGTGCGGAGCAGATGGGGGACCCATCGGTGGGAATGGAGCTGGTGGGACCAGGACCATCCCCTGAACCCACCAGGACCATCCCCTGAATCCTGCTGGGACAGGACCATCCTCTGAACCCAACTGGACCATCCCCTGAACCCAAGTGGAACCAGGACCATCCCCTGAACCCACCAGGACCATCCTCTGAAACCCACTGGGACCAGAACTATCCTCTGAGCCCACCAGGACCATCCCCTGAACCCAGCTGGAACCAGGACAATCCCCTGAGCCCCACCAGGACCAGAACCTTCTCCTGAACCCACCCGAGACCAAAGTCATTCCAAATCTGAGATCAGAACCATCTCCTGAACCCACCAGGCACCATAATCACTCCAACCCATCCAGATGTCACCCAAGGCCCTCCAGACCCCCCCAACCTTCCATGTCCCCCCACTGGTACCTTTGCTCCACGGTGGAGCTGAGGCGGACAGAGACGGGGACAGGGGTCCCGTCCCGGATGGCGGTGAGGATGGTGGGCAGCGGCTCCAGCTCCTCCTGCGTGGCCTTTTGGGACAAGACAGAGCTATTTTGGGGACAGCGGGTGGCCACGGGGCAGGGGCCATCTCTGGCAGTGGGTGCCCAGCTCTGCGCACAAGGAGAAGGGACCGGCTGGTCTCTCCGGCTGCCCTTGGGGATCAGGTGGCACCTGGTCAAGGCCGGAGAAGATGTCGCAGAGCAGGAGGTGGAGAGTGGCGAGCTCCAGGGCCAGGTCCACGTAGCCATCATAGGTRGCCATGCTGGCGCTGCTCTCGGGGTTGGCCACGCTCCGCAGGAAGGTTCTCATGACGCTCCAGTTGTCCTCCAGGAAGCCGTTCATGAAGCCCATGTAGGCCTCCTTCTCGCCAAACCTGGGGACCACGGTGTTTGGTCACCCACGGGCCAAGCTGCCAAGGTGAGCACCACCGTGACCGTGGGTCAACCTGCTTCCATGACCACAACCCAACGCATCTCCACGTCCTTGGAGCTGCCACCACCATGCATGAGGTGCCAGCCTAGGGACATTCTTGCAGCCTGAGGACATGTGGTGGAAGTCCCTCCTGCCCCATGGTCAGTCCGTGGTGTGCAGGACCCATCCCTCCTGCCCCATGGGATGTAGGGGACATCCCTGCTGTCCCCTGGTGCATAGGGGATGTCCCTACAGCTCCATGGGGCGTAGAGGACACTTGCTGCCCCATGGCATGTAGGGGACATCTCATGGGGCATAGGAGAAGTCCCCCGTGCTCCATGGCACATCAGGGACACACATCAGGGACAKCCCACCTGCCCCAGGGCACGTTGGGGACATCCTCACTGTCCCATGATGGCCTRTGATGGGTCATACATGTGATGAGTGTGACCAGCCCCACTAGAGCAAGTGGATCAGATGCCACCTCCCCATCAGGTGTAGCGCCGTAGCTGGGACCTACGTGGTGAAGTTGGCCAGGTTCTGGATGACCTTGGCCACCAGCGTGAGGGTGCGCGCGGTGGCCTCGCTGGGGTACTCCTGCACGAGGCCGAAGAGGCTGGGCGACATGACGGCGGGGCACAGGAAGCGCAGGAAGAGCGAGGCCGACACCAGGCGCTGCCCGATGTCCTCCTTGCCCCGCGCCGCGCACTCCTCCTGCCACGCCGCGAAGATCTCGCCCAGCTCCGCCGGGAAGGCACTGCGGGGAGACGTGGCGTGATCACGGACGTCCCTGCAGATCCACCACGCACCGTGGTGGCCGCCACGCTACGTTGTGCCCATCCTTGTGTTCCTCCCCAAGCCTGTCCCTTGGGTCCTTCCTGGTGCTGGTGTCCCCATGCCTGTGCTGATGTCCATGCCCAGTCTTGTCCTGTGTCCGCTCTAGTCATGGTTCTGGTCCTCAGGCCCATCCTTGGTGCCGCTGTCCATCCCCATGACTACCCACCACCGGTGTCCACCCCCAGCACCRCTCCCCTTCCTGCCCCATTGCTTGTCCCCATGTCTAACCCCATGCCCATGTAGGAGATGACCTTGCTGTCCTGTGGCCAGGCCATGGCACATAGTAGGTGGCCCCACGCCAGGGGGGTCTCCACCCATCTCCACCATCTCCACCATCTCCACCATCCCATCTCCACCATCTCCACCATCTCCACCATCCCATCTCCACCATCTCTACCATCTCCACCACGCCATCTCCACCATACCATCTCCACCATCTCCACCATCTCCACCATCCCATCTCCCACCTCCACCATCAACCCAGTGTCAACCTCCATGTTTGTCCCCATCTCTGTCCCAGCGCCATCCCCAGGCCCGTTGCCCGTGCCACCGCCCCCGCCAAGCCCATCCTCGTGGTGGCCCGGCCCTCACTCGCAGGACRCGGCGATGCGCTGCAGGGTCTCCTCGCAGACCTGCCGCAGGTTGTTGCGGTTGTCYGAGAGGTCGAGGCTGGCGCATTTGCTGGGGTCGACCTCGCAGGAGTCGTCCGAGCTGCAGAGCTGGGCCACGGCCTCACCTGGGCGCCGAGGGGACACCCCGTGAGGACATTGTCCGCCACCACCGTGGGCCACAAGCCCACGGATGGCCTGCTATCCGTAAATGTCCAGAGCCCAACATGTCCTGCCCCTCATAACATCCCACAGCATCTCCTATTGTCCTGACCATGGCCAACATGTCCTGCACCTCCTAACATCCCATAGCATCTCCTAACAACCTGACCATGGTCAACACGTCCTGAACCCCATAACATCCTGTAGCATCTCCTATCATCCTGACCATGGCCAACATGTCCTGCACCTCATAAGATCCTGTACCATCTCCTAACATCCTGTAGCATCTCCTAACATCCTGACCCTGGTCAATATGTCCTGCACCTCATAACATCCCATAGCATCTCCTAACATCCTGGCCATGGCCAACATGTCCTACAGCCCCCACAATATCCGGTAGCACCTCCTAACATCCCGACCATGGCCAGCATGTCCGGCACCTCATAATGTCCTGTAGCATCTCCTAACATCCGGACCATGGCCAACATGTCCTGAACCCCATAACATCCTGTAACATCTCCTAACATCCTGGCCATGGSCAACACGTCCTGCACCTCCTAACATCCCATAGCATCTCCTAACATCCTGACCATGGCCAACATGTCCTACAGCCCCCATAACGTCCTGTAGCATCTCCTATCATCCTGACCATGGCCAACATGTCCTACAGCCCMCACAACATCTCCTAATGCCCTGAACTCCCCCTCCAAAACTGTACCTAGTGTGTCCTGGAGGTACTTGCCCCCCACCAGTTTCATGTACTCGTCGATGGCCTTGGTGGCCAGGGTGTTCTCGCGGAAGATGAGCGCCTCGCGGTCATCGAAGCGGTCCAGCTCAGCCACGCCCAGGTCAATGAGGAAGGCCTGTGGGATGGGTGGCGTCTGTGGGCTCGGGGGACACCCAGAGTCCCCAAAACACCTTGTCCAGGATGGCCTTGACGGTTTCTGGCTCTGCTGGGACCTCCTGGGTTGCCTTTTGTGTCCTGTCTCATCTCCTTCCCTCTCATCCCATCCTCACTTTGCTTCCATGACTCATCCACGTCATGTCAACCCATCCCATCCCATCTCAACCCAACCCACTAGGCCCATGTCACGTTGGGCAATGCCCATCTCACCCCAGCCCCTCCATGTCCATGTCACCTTGGGCAATGGCCATCTCACCCCAGCCCCACCATGTCCATACCACCTTGGGAAAAGTCCATCTCACCCCAACCCCACCATGTCCATGCCACCTTGGGGAGGTCCATCTCAACTCAACCCCACCATTCCATACCACCTTGGGAAAGGTCCACATCACCGCAATCCCGCCATGTCCATGCTACCTTGGGCAATGCCCATCTCACTGCAACCCCATCATGTCCATGTCACCTTGGGAGAGCTCCATCTCACCCCAACCCACCATGTCCATGTCACCTTGGGAAAGGTCCATAGATCCATCTCACCCCAGCCCCTCCATGTCCATGTCACCTTGGGCAATACCCATCTCAACTCAACCCCACCATGTCCATGCCACCTTGGGGAGGTCCATCTCATCTCAACTCAACCCCACCATTCCATACCACCTTGGGAAAGGTCCACATCACCGCAACCCCGCCGTGTCCATACCACCTTGGGCAATGCCCATCTCACCCCAACCCCACCACGTCCCCACCACCCCGGGCCATGCCAGCAGCACCCCGAGCAGCACCCGCTCTACCTTGGCCTTGCCGGTGCTCTGCAGCACGCGCACCAGCGCCCCGGCCAGCTCCTCCTTGTGCCGCGCGGCGATGAGGGGCTCCAGGCGGGCGCACAGCTCCCGGTAGTGGAACGTGATGAACTCGGCGAGCTCCTTGTAGCGCACGATGGGCAGCACCCGCACCTCCTGGTAGCGCCCGCGCACCCGCACGGCGGGCGCCCGCTCGCGGTCCCACCCGCTCAGCGGGTACCAGCGCTCCAAGGGCTGCCGCGCCGAGGCCACCAGCTCGCTCAAGGGGACGGCGACGGAGGCCACGGGCTCGCGGGGCCGCCCGGGCTCGTCGCGGCACAGGGCGAGCGTGAGGGTGCGGGCGCGGGGCAGGGCGGCCAGCTGGAAGAGCTCGCCCCAGAAGAGCTCGCCGCCGGCGCCGGCCGCCTTGGCCGTGGTGCGGGCGTAGAGCGCGCCGTCCAGGTGGAGCTGGCAGCGGAGGCGGCGCCGCGGCGGCACGTCCCGCGCCTCGTACACCCAGAGGGTCAGCGCCAGCTCCACGCGCTCGCGGTTGTCCTGAGGGGGACGGTGGCGGTGGGATGGGGTGGAGGCATCTGGGTAGGGTTGGAGGACTAGGGGGGTACGTGGGATGGGAAGGAGGTGGAGGCATCTGGATGGGGTTGGAGGACCAGGAGGATATGTGGGATGGGAAGAGGTGGAGGCATCTGGGTGGGGTTGGAGGACCAGGAGGGTACATGGGATGGGAAAGAGGTGGAGGCATCTGGGTGGGGTTGGAGGACCAGGA